ATAGATTGATAAAAATATTAATGAATAATCAAAATACCTTAAAAAATGTTCAAACATGATATTATAGTTTGTAGTGAAAAATTTCGATTCAACTCAATGCAAGCGTTGCACAAAATGCTGCTATACTAGCAACGTCGTTCTATAACGTTAAAAGAAACGATATATTTCCCGCCAAAATTTCCTTTTTAGCGGTTTTAAAACATCGGTGACCCCCCTTTTTTTATTTGTGCTTTTAAAATCTTCCCTGAAGCTGCAACTTATGCAGAAGTTTGAAGGAAAAAACATTAGTAGATTTTTTTTATTTTGAGAAAAATCTAGAATAAATAGCTGGCGGGAAATATTAAAAGACCTTGAAAAAAAAGGAAATTGAGACAACTAAATGTTTTAAGGTACAAGTTACATTTGAATGTTTTTATTATCACAGTTAAACATCTTTTTTTTATTAATTTTGCATTTTTTTAGCAACTTAGAGAGCTATTTTTATATTTTGGTTAAACGCGATTCTTTAAGTTTTGTTGACGTCATATCTCGAAAACAACATCGGTGACCCCAATTTTTTTTTCGGCTAAAATTTCGTAATAAGTATGATCTATCTACATGCAAAAGTTCAATGAATTATTATTAGTAGTATAAATAGTGTGATTTCCCTTTAACCGCTATCTGGATAAACCGTCACCAGTAACACTCAAACCCATATATTTGAAAGTCAGGGATACATAAATACGTAGAAACGTTAGCAATATAACCTACCTATTGGGATAATTGTTATTGTTTAGCTTCCTGGATATCAGTGCATTATTTGCCACTGGAATCTCAATCAGTCGGTTAAATATTGATAGAAATAATATTTTTCTTTCGTTTAAAAAAAGAAGAATGATATTAACCAAGGTCTCATATGAAATGAATATGTCCTATCAAAAGCTCATACTGATACTTGTAAATGAAAAGCACAACAAAATGCAGTTATCCATTTCGTACATTATATATCAGATCACGAACTAAATTATAACGGTTTTAAAGCAGAAAAGAAGATAACAGTACCATTTTTACAGCACCAGATAAGCATTTGTTCATTAATGTCTCTTCAGTAATACTCGGGGCCATTTCAAAATACCACTTTTATTAGTGTTTGAAAAAAAAACATTATTTTAATTTTCAAGCGAATACTTTTATCTTCCTCGTCCTTGGTACATTTTTTTGGGACCAGATCAGTCTCGGACATATCTAAGGCAGAAAATACAAACTCGTTAAGATACAACACAAAATTTGTTACCCTTTACGCTCATCAGTGGCGCTCGAATCAAAAGTTGAAAGGGTGGAAATCAAACACGAATACCTTGTTTTACATTGCATTTTGGGAAGCACATGCTTATCGCCGAAAACTTATAAATTGCTTAACAAATACAATGATTAAATTTAGATGAAGGGTAACATTTAATCATGCGATTTACTTTTAATGACTCAGAGTTAGTCATACTAATAGTATGATTAATTTAACGAAATGTTAGACAACGGACGTCCTGGTCTGATTTTAATGTTTTTGATGTCTATTGTACATGAATTATGCCCGTTAGTTACCTTATGATTTAGGTTTCTGGGTAATAATGCTCATGTACCGCTTGAACATATGTTATGAAGCTTTTAACACAATGACATGGAAAATGGAATGCAGTTCAGTTTTATTTTGATAATAATTTTGCCATTTGCCGTTCAAGAGTTGTGTCATTTAGTTACTATGACAATTTATATTTCTTTGGTCAATGGATGATGATGATGATCATACTGCCTGATCGAATTTTTTTGAAACTAGGTATACTATAAGCCCTTAGATATCATTAGTTCTAAGTGTTGGGTTGGCAAAACATCCTTGTGCCACTTAAGTACACATTAATTATAACGCAAATATATATATCTAACGGCGTATGGACCTACAGTGAGACTGGGTTATAGAAATATGGTAACTTTTGGTCTTTTTCCGACCGGCAGTAAAACCTTTGCTTTGATGTTGGGCATCTGTTTGGGTGTGCGGAATGAGTAACACCAGCATGGAACGTTTAGTCCGATATCTCATACAGAGTGCAACGCTCTCTCTGCGTGAATTACCTTTGAGGGATCCGTAGGTTACCTGTTACAAGGATAAATGTATTTCCCTATTCAGTATATCCTCATTTACATGTGACATCCTGAATTTCTCGCCTATCAGCTCGGGAGACCCCCTATTGTATTTATTATTCATTTGTTTTCGCTCTGATCATGTATGAAATATTTGTCACTGGACAATAAAAAACAACAATCAATCGATTTAACGGGTGTATGGACAGCACATTCATTAAACAATGAAATACAGATCGAACAAGACTAAAGGACACTCGCCTTAACGGCTTACACTGAGGGTCCTATCCAACATATCACCATGTTCCAGTGGCAGTTTGAATTCCCGTCCTTCATCCGTTTAACACTTTGCAGAGCAAATCTATCGAATTTATTTTCAACTTGATCATGTGTTAAATATGCATGAAATATTTGAAAATGGGCGTTATGCAAAAAATGAAGAAAATTTGAAGTGCTTAAAGGCGTGATGAAGTACACATTGATAGTAAAGTAAAGCTTAAAATGAAGCCCTTCGCTCAGCTAACACAAACTCTAAAAATTTTGCACAATGGCATTAGAACACGCTGATACTGCAGTGCATAATAATTGTAGAATATAAAAAATAGAGTCTTGGCATACTCAAACTCTATAAGTGGTTTAGTAGCAATTAAACACTGAATAATGATTCCATTGCTGATGTTTGTACATTTTATTGTATGACCAAACGTGTGAGAGATAGGGACTAATACAAGAGTTGTTAAAGAGTACTTCTCATAAAACATATTTCAATACTACACGAAGTTGTATGTATTAAATTCTGCTGTTTATTTCTCAAACGAGTTCTCTGTGTCAGTACACAGAGAAAATTAAATAAAGGATAAAAGAGTACTTCTCATAAAAATATTTCAATACTACATGAAGTTGTATGTATTAAATTCTGCTGTTTATTTCTCAAACGAGTTCTCTGTGTCAGTACACAGAGAAAATTAAATAAAGGATAAAAGTATCTAAAAGGACATTTAAAAAGTATCATTGTATACGTGCATGTTCTTGTATACAGTACATGTATTCTTCCATTATACTGTGTTTTCATTATTTTTGTTAGTGATTAAAACCTGATTAAAACAAATAATTTTACAATATATATTTGATATGCAATATCTTTTTGGCTATACAAATAATAGGATGTCATAATAGGTTGCATTTTGTAAATACCGCGGATTCGCACACCACACCTCTTATGGGACGATATTTTATATTAATATTTATTTTGTTTTGTTTAACTTATGGTTCCCAGATATCCATGTTTCATTTCATAGTCACAACTTGGGAATATTACCAATATAAATACTGTTGGATAGCGGACAACTTGAATTTTCTCAAAAAGACTAAGAGTAAAGGGAGGGGTAATGCATAATTTTAGTATGAACTCTTAAAAGTTCAAGGCATATTGATAATGCAAACATGCCGCACAATCTTATGTTTTACAAAAAATAGCAGTACAAATGTACTTTCCATTTCAGGATATGATTTTGTACGAAACCTCTTAGTAAAACTTGCACAGTTTTAACTGTAAAAGAGGTTCCTACGGGAAATTGAAGTGTCTATATTTTCAGAAATACAACCTATGATATCAAAGCTATATAACGATTGAATCAGTTAGGGATGTTAACATATTATAAATTGCATTGTTAATTATGTTGGTATACGTAGTTTGCATTGCTGCATTGAGTGTTTCGATAACTATTTTTTCCAAAATCTATAAGTTGTATCGATATTCATTATTTTTTTTAACTTCACTTAACGGTATTTGCTAACGAGTCCACGAAAGTTTTTCATTCATTAACTAACGATACAATACCGACTTTTATTTATTTAATTGTTTGGTGTAATTAAGTATGGTCATATAATGGTCTTCTTCCGACCGATTCGCATGCACACCTTTTTCTTGTTGTCCGTTTTGGCTGTGCAGTATGTATAAATACACACCCATATATTTTTCATATAGAGTGAGTGCCAATTTATCAGCACGGTAAGAACTCTTGTAACAACTCTTTGGGTGGTCCGTAACAGAGTCAAATTTCTTTTTTTATCCACTCTAACCTCATGTTCCATTGGAGTTCCAAATTTACATGCATCATTCCGATCAACCCCTAATTACAATACTTATATCTTTTTTCTTTTTATTTGATTTCGTCCAAAACATGCATGGCATATCTGCCACTGGACATGTGTTCGGCCGTGCTCAATCACATCCGATAAACCCTTGCAAACTAAGCGTTGACACATTATTTGTAAAATTAGCTTAGCCGTACAAATCGATAAGATCGAGGATTTGCCAGCTTGACACAATACAGTTGTGTTGAACAGCGAACAAATTATTCCAATTAACAAATATAAACATTCTATTGTCATAATCATTTATAATCTTTAGCATAATACACAATGACAAGTAACAAAAAAGGGCAAAACACTCTCCAAATGCAATATAAGATCATAAAAAAACAAATGATTAAGACATTTTGACACTTAATCTATCAACTCAGTATCACTAATTTTGTTCCTACTTTTAGAATCTTGTGATGAAGTGTATACATGTCCAAATGCAACATTTGATGCAGATGAGTTGATCGATTATGAATATGATGAAGAACATTTCAAATGGAAGATGACTATGCATTTAAACTTCCTTGATGTTTCCTGTCCGTTAGTATTTTGTTTTATTAAAGTCAACTGTATTCATTATACCAAGTATCGAGGATTATTATCGCAATTGTTTCAACCCATTCAACACAATTTCCATGATATTGAAATTATTTAATTAAGTCAAGTAAATTATGTAACTAATAAACCTAATTGCACTTTTTATCTTTACATTTTTTTTATTCGGTACATTGTTCCAGATACTTATCGGAAATGCTGACTTGCATTAAGAACTACGGAGCAATATGTGATGACAAACAGCAACACAGTCATGTTTAGAATGATGGAATACACGTACAATCCAGTATGCATCACTAACAAAGCAGGTACGCATGATACTATTGCAAGTTGAATCAGAATTTGCCCAACTGACAAACACTAGTTTACCATTGGCAGTGTCCCGACATGCATTGCAGTCGTTCCATTTTGCAGGACCTACATGTCCTATTTAAATTGAATCATTTGTTTCCCCTGAATAATTCTGAAATAGTTGTCACTGAACGTGAAGCAAGCCTTTAATCTAGCAGAACATGATTAAATTATAAGTTGTAATTTACTTTGAACTAGCTTTCAGTAACGAAGAGTACTCTCATTATCGTTCTTTGTGTATATTGTTTTTATGTAATGCTTGTTCCTGTACCGATCTTTTAGGCATAGCTATTTGCAAATGAGTTTCACATTTTTTTCTTGTGTTGTGCTGTTGCACAACGATCCTAGGTTTGCGGAAGGATAGAGCGCTCACATGTTTTACCTCGCTACCTTCTTTATGAGCCTGTCAAAAGTCAGGATCCTGTACATGTAGTTCACTGGTTGTCGTAGGTTCATGTCTGTCATATTTGGTTTTTTTTTCTTGTAAATTGTTTTGCTATAAATTAGGCGGTAAAATTTATCGTTTGAATTTTTCACATTTTTCATGTCGGGGCCTTTTATGGCCGACTGCACGGTATGGGCAATGCTAATTGTATCATAGGCAATCACACCACATCTTCTTATTTTGATCTTTATAAATCATTGGTTTTTTGATTCCAAAACTAAGTAAACCGAAGACGATGTCAAAATGATGAACTTTTAGATCGACAGCATATTTGTTGAGTTTGTGTGATTGGCATTGCTACAGTCGATATTCCAAAAACTTCTTAGTATATACTTCTAAATGCCGATTTGATTTTGTACTCATATAAAATAGAATTTATTCAAACATTCTCAGGAAAAAAAAAGATTTTGCAAAGCTCTTTACTTTCACTTTCAGATATATTTATGATCTTCTTTCAATGAAAAAACACATTTCGGTGACTGCATGCATCTCGTGTATAAAGGGTACTACAGAAACTAAAAGGTCTGCTCTTTTCCTCGCTATTGGCAGAGATGGAGAACTTCAAACTAGAATATTACAAACTTGATGATTTCAAAACTTTTCAATCGTCAATTTTCTATTTCAAAGTAGTAACACACTCACTGACAGATCTTATGGTGTTTCCATATCAAATTTCATACATTATGCTCGTGCAATGTTTGCTCAATACATTACCAGTGGTGAGCACACAAACTGCTTCAACACAGTTATGAGGAAGAAAGACTGAAATTGACACTCAACTCACTAACAACATGTTTGCCTGGTTTCCGATCTTTTAGATTCCAGTATAGTCGTCTGATCTGTAGTTTTTACCGATTCCAATTCACTGCTGTAACATTTTCACTAGTTAATGATCTTACTTCTTTGTTGGTTTTAAATGCGAGAGTGCTTGAGATGTCGACACACAATTCCTACGGCTTATATTATGTTTTAAAGTATATTACTGGAAACATTGTGTGATAATATATAATTCGACACATATTAATGACAAACATAACATAATTTTCCAATGATTATAGAATTGACGGGATTAATTTCCTCCTGCTTCAATGACGAGGTGTATCAAGAAGAGTTGCTGGAATGCCACAACAATGCAGAGCAAGAATATATATAAAAAAAAGAGAATAACAGGTCACCAAGCAGAGCAAACAAAGACCCAGTAGACTGTGGGTAAGATTTAAAATAAGACATACAAAATTTAAGAAATCGCTAGAAAATAAAGGCAACAGTAATATACCGCTGTTCAATAGTCATTTCGATTAGGCAAAAACAAATCAGGGTAACAAACTAAACCCGAGGGAAAAACATCATCTATAAGAGGAAAACAACGGAACAACAGAAACACTGAACTACAACAAAAGCAAACGCTTACATACATAGAATCGGATTGTAGGTAACAACTGCCATATTCCAGACTTGCAGGATATTTGAAGAAAAAATGGTGGATTGAACCTGGTTTTATGACTAGCCAAACCACCCGCTTATAAACTACTACTGTAGTGCAAATGTGATGTGTTGCAAAGACAAAAGTTGGGGATATTTGGATATTGCTGCTTAATGTGATGTGGCAAATATATTATGGATAATTAGGACAAATAAAATACAAAAAAATAATCAAAGATAGAAGGTTCTGCAAAGGTGATCGACGGACAGGCATACTGTACTTTCAGTGTGCAAAGATATTTAAGGAAGGGGAAGAAACTTATCCCTGCAGCTTGCCTACCACCAGTCCCTCATTGCGTTGTGACATTGATTATGTACGTATTATTTTAAGTTGTTAAATAAAATTTAAAAGTAAACTGACATGATTCCTGAGAAACAATTATGCACTGTTCCACTGAACAACATATAAGAACACAACGTTTTGCTAGATGTATTTTTAGTATGTGCAAAGTTATTTAAATGTCTGCTTTTGTATTTTACTTTTCAGATTATGAAAATATTCTCGTAATTTAGTTTTCAGATTAAGTTTTCATAGACTATTCATTTTATGAACATTTAGGCGAAAACATGACAAAATGTCATTGTCACAACAAAATTTTAAATTTGTACACCGTAGTAAACAGAATGTTGTTAATTAATTCACAACAAAATCATTGTGAAGAAAGGAATGGCCTCGCGGGAAATATATGATACTGGATACCCAGTTCTATCGAACAAAACTTTTGTTCACTGAAATATATAGATTGTTGTTGAATTCATTCATAACAAAATCATTGTGAAGAAAGGAACGGTCTCGCAGGAAATATCTGAAACTCAATACCTAGTTCTACCGAACAAAACTTTAATATATGAGTACTCGAAGGCATCCCTAGCCAAAACCAAAATCATACCTAAGGTCAACTTTCTATAAACGAGTTTGAACCGAACTTTGAAATAGCTTCTTAATGTATTGAAGAATTTTAGAAACCTATGATATAAGGTACGTCATTGCCGAAGCACCAATAGGTGTGATTACGAAATACACTTGGACTAACAGAAAGCTTTAAAATTATTATTTTAGAGTCGAACGAATCCAGTGGAAATTAGCAGTACTCTTGCATGGGTATATTCAGGCCTTAAATTCAAGTATTCATTGAAATACAAATGTTCTATTAGGCCTCAGTGTGGAATTTGTCCGAATCGTAGAATCAAGTACCCTTCTAATATAATTAGATCGACGAAATTTGGTGTCCGTGAAAATAAATGGATCTATAGTGTTAGTAGTGCAGACACATAAATTGTTTGCATTTCGTCGTTGGTACAAATGTATCAATTAAACAAAGCTAACTTACACATTATACATGAACTGGTTATTGAACTACTGAATGTAGGGTTGAATATATAAAAACAAGTTTAACCCCCGTCACATATCCATATCCATAACCCCATGTCCATTTCCAGTTGTTTCCATTCGTTTGAAGTGTTTGAGCTTTTGATTTTGTGATTTGACAAGGGACTTTCTGTTTTGAATTTTCCTTGGAGTTCGATATTTTTGTTATTTTACTTTTTCCTCAGTCAGAAAAATTTTCAGTATTCTATTACTGTCATATCTATATGTTGTTTTAATTTGTTAATTGTGGTTTGTCATATTTTTCATTGTTTTTTTGTTGTTTATTCATCTCAATTTCTTTCGTTATTTGAAAAAAAAATGTGTTGTAGTTTATAGAATCGGAACGATTTGAAGCTTACAGTATGGTATATACTAGTCTTTGGTTAACAACTGTAAATCACACTCTGTTTTGGAGTGGGGTGGGGGTTGCTGTCTCATTGACATTTCAACACATTTCTATTTAATTCATATTATATATATTTATTTTAAAATGACAATTTTTAATCTGAAAGTCTGATTGTTCACAATAATTTATACTCGAATACAAAAATAGAATGAAATTTAGCATAAATAAGTTACGTAGTAAATATAGTTTAACAAGTCCGCTCTCCGCGGTGCATTTTTATTATAAATACTGAAGCAAAACACTGCATAAGTTTATGCAGAGAAGATATATTTTACGCTTTTTCTTTTTTATCTAAAACATTTTGTTCCAGAGTGTATGTATGGGCTTCATCTACTATTTCTTTTAAACCAATATTTGCATTTTTGTCTTTGGATTCTTTTTTATCTGCACCTTTCAGTTCAAAAAACGTATTCCAGTTTTGCAGACAAAATTGTATCTGACAGAAAAGCTATGTCGTCAGTTTTATCAAAATTAATATAATTTATGAAGTTGCATTTATGAAAATTAAGCATATACTTGGCATATGGTTTGTCAGCTTAACTTGTTTTAAGAGATATGATTGTTTTTATTTAAAAAGGTGTTCATAGAAATAAGAAGATGTGGTATGTGTGCCAATCAGACAACTCTCCATCCAAGACACAATGTGTAAAAAGTAATCAATTATAGGTCTAAGTACGGCCTTCAACACGGAGCCTCAGCTCACACCGAACAGCAAGCTATAAAGTGTCACAAAATGACTAGTGTAAAACAATTCAAACAGGAAAACCAACGTTTTAATCTATTTAAAAAACGAGAAACACTTATGAACCACATCAACAAACGACAACCACTGAACAGGTGCATACAAGTGCAGCGGGTTTGAACGTTTTATACACATCAGAAATTTGCAGGATTATTGTAATTTTTTATTGTACTCCGGAAAAATTGGATGTTTCAATGAAAATAGTTTGCGCTGCAACATATTAACACAGTTTACAGTATACTGCTTACAACATTTAGTATTAATCTTGCAGATAAGGACATTCAATATCATGTTTTCAAATAACGATCTCATGCAAGTATTTAAAATAAATGCATTGTTTCTTCCACTTGTTTGGTAGTTTGTTCATTGCTTGGAGATGGCAAACGCAGTGTATTTTTTTGTTTTTTTGTTTGTTTTAGAATTGTAGATGGTTGGGCAAGTTGTATACACGATGTAATCAAAGCGTGCAGTCCGGAGAACGCACATGTATTTCTACCAATAGTAGAGGCAGCTAAACCAGGCATTTGTATTATGTGAACAATTTTTTTTCGACTGTGGAACAAGTAATTAAAATATATGTTCACAAAGTTTTGTATTCATTTTCTTCAAAATCTTTAGTGACCACTTTCTCTGTTTGTTGCAACTCTTGTTTTCATCATGTATATATTCAACGTGTTTTAGTTTTGACCTGTAACAAAGAGTTTTATGAATATTTCAAGAATGTTCAGGACGAGAACAAATTAACAATAAATACAATAGGTAGTTCTTATAATAAAGGCCGTTTTATAATACTTGTAAGCCGAATTTAACTTCTCAATTCTGACCGGACTAGTCTGCGAACTTATACATCCCCACTGTGGCGACGGTTTTACTGCCGGTCGGTAGAAGACCAATGGTGATCACATTTCCTTTCTTCAGTCACTTTTAGGGGTACTTTTTGATTCGATGCAAAATCATTGCAGTGTCAGATGGAATAAACACTTTAACAACTTTAACAATTGTTACAATTTTCACAAGCGTTTGTAACTATATTCCTCTTATTAACACTACCATTGCTGATGATGATTCAATTTCTGTTTACCAATACCTCTCGTAATGAATAAAGACGCAATTAAAAATGTGGTAAAGCTAATAGTTTGTATAATTATCAACACATTAAAGCACACTTTAAGAAACACTTTAAATTTTGTTTTAAGCTTGTCACAGCATGTATTTTTGTTACCCTCTCTCGAAAAATTTCTGAATAAAATCTGCTGCACATTTGAGGTTGCATTTCTGTAAATATAGACAATGCAATTCCCCATAGGAACTCTCTTTATGGCTAAAACTGTAACACATTTACTATGAAGTTTCGTAAAAAATTATATTCTAGGATAGAAAGTTGATAATCACTACTTTTTTTATTCAAAGGTCAAAACATAGGACTGTGCGGCATATTTTCATCCTTTATATGCCACGAACTTCTAAGAGTTTAAACTTATACTAAAATTCTGCACTATCCCTCCCTTCACTTTATGTCTTACTCAGAATTCAATTCCAACGCCTACCATGTGCATTTATACTGGTAACATTCCCAAATTATGTCTCTAAGAGATGAACAATAGAGATCATATCTGGGAACCAGTACGTAAACAAATCAAAATATCTATGAATATTATATATCTCCCCAAAAGAGGCGTGGTTTATAAAACAGCTGTATTTACAAAGTGAAAGCTATACTAACATTTATTCAAATAGAAAACTCTTGAAAAACACTTTTTCTCACCACAATACTTATTTATCAGAATCACAGCCTTACAGAAATTACTGTAAATACTCTATCTTTTCTTTTACAGTACATTTTATAACACCACCCCTGATTCCATTTTGAAAGAATTTGAAAACAAGACTTTAATTATTGCCAGTTTATCCTATGTGCATGTTTTCTGACATGAAATGTACAGAACCTGTTTAAAACTACTCTGAAATTGAAAGCATTTCAGAATAATATAAATGTAAAGTTTAGTAGTGAATCATTCCAACATTCAGGATTATATCAAATATCCAATCCTGTCTCTGTCTCCAGTCCACATCTTACTGCATGCGTATTTATCAATAAAAGTTAACTATTTCTGCATCCAATGGTCAGTTTAGAAATTTTGTCACAACAATATCATCTCTAACCATATATCTAACATAATTTTGCTAATATATGAACTAGAAGTGTTTAAACAAAGCCATATTTGCAAAAGTTGTAAGTATAAAGTTAGTAGTCTGAATTGTTTCCACCTGTCCTAAGTCAGGAATCTGATGTTCAGTAGTTGTCGTTTGTTGATGTGGTTCATAAGTGTTTCTCGTTTCTCGTTTTTTATATAGATTAGACCGTTGGTTTTCCCGTTTGAATGGTTTTACACTAGTAACTTTTGGGGCCCTTTATAGCTTGCTGTTCGGTGTGAGCCAAGGCTCCGTGTTGAAGAACGTACTTTGACCTATAATTGTTTACTTTTTATAAATTTTGACTTGGATGGAGAGTTGTCTCATTGGCACTCATACCACATCTTCTGATATCTATATGATGTATGCATTCACTAAAAGTTTTATAAATTGACTGCTTACATCTCATACTTTCCAAGCACAGTTATTGTTTTCTTTACAAAAGACCTTTATATTAATAAATTCATAGCATTTGCAGATTAAATTATCTGTTTTATGACCAAGGGGGTAGGCATTTTTCTCATTTTTTGCCCTTGGGTCCTCAAATTTGCTAAATAATTCTGCAGTTTCCCCAAAAGAGACGTGGTTTATGAAACAGCTGTATTTAAAAGCTGTAGATTATGGACAGTAGTATTCCTCTGGAAATATACCAACAACACTATATGATGATTTCAGGTGACATCTACTTCACATTAGAAATTGAATTGCTGCAACCTTCAAAGAAGCCAGGATTGTCAAGACAAATATGCACGCATCAAAACCCATCCCGGCTAAAAATATCTGATATATAATGTAACCGCAAATACAACAACTATTAGTACTTTTATTATCGTAAATAAATCCACGACTGTTTATCAGACTTGAGTCATTGATAGAGATGCTATGGGATAACATATATAAACACGTAAAATAATGAATAATTGTCAATTACAAAAAATGACTATGTTGATCTGAAATCAATAGTTCTCATAAGATGCATGTGCATGCAAAAACAACTAATTTTATCATATAAGGGACTTAACAATCATTTAGTAGGAATCTATGGTTAGACTGGATGTAGATCGTACAAATTTTGAAGAATTGCCTGCTGAAGATGACCAGGGAATGAACTAAAAAAAATCATTATATTATATGAATCCTGTGATATCATCTGCATTCTAGAACAATTACATCTGTTAAACTAAGGTTACAACTCCCTCAGGCAAAGTTGACCTTAAATGGATTTGACTATTTTTAGGTCCTTTTTGGTAATATAGCTCTCTAACTGTTTCGGATCTTATAGGTGTAATACCACCATTGATTTCGCCTACTAATCTTTGTTAAATTTGCACTTTTCAAAAAATTGTGCAGAATTTATCTTTGTTTTAGATAAAGAAATAATTGGCATGAGTAAAGTTTTATCATGTCCAGTACTATAGACAAAATTTCAATGTATATAAGAAAATAACCGTCACTGGAAGTTAAACAATCAAATTTTCATCTCTTTTTTACCTGTGTACAAGCTTTAGTAACCATGTAACCTCAAGTTTCCAAAATATTCTATAGAAACACCAAATAAAAAAATAATGGTGCTTTGAAACACACAAGATATATGTTTATGACCAAGAATTTTTTTACTGCAATGAAATGTAGGATTAATTACCTACAACTGTCAAATTAAAGGGAAAATTTTTTTTCGACCCTTTTTCGTATGCATCCGGATGTGACGTACTATGACTTGGTGGTATTACACCTTATACATCCTTGACTTTCAAATATTCGGCTTTTAGCGTTCATGATGAAGGTAAATTCAGAAAAGCGCCTCGGACGCATGAAATTTATAACGTGTTGTTTTCATTTTAATAGCTACGAAATAATGAACTGACTCTCTTCAAATGAATATTCCGCGGTCTTTGCTTATGATATATCAGTTTTAGAATATTCACACTTGGGGTCATGTCATCCCCCACCCACCGGCTGTAGTAGAGGGGCATCAAGGTTAACCTATGTCCGTCCATCTGTACGTCCCGACATTGGTTTCCGTTCTCTAATGTTAGTTTGCCTCAACCAAATGTTTTAAAACTTATACATAATGTGTATTACCACAAAACAGATCAAGTTCGTATTTTAATGTCATCACCTTTACCGTTCTGGAGTTATGACCCCTTTATAACGTTATATGCAATCGGGGGCATTATTTGTGTCCCATGGACACATTCTTCATTTATTTTAGAAAATAAAAAGTAAAATAGCAAAAATACCGCACTCCAAGAAAAACTCAAAACGGAAAGTCCCTTATCAAATGGCAAAATCAAAAACTCAAACACATCAAGCGAATGAAAAACAATTGTCACATTCCTGACTAAACCTCTCATTGTATGACAGTCGCATAAAATTCCATTATATGAACAAAACAGACATAATACGTATAAATGTAAAAAATAGGGGTACAGCAGTCATCTTAATCACTATAAAGAAATACAAATATGTCAACAAAGAAAAACAAAATGGTATATAGACAAATCACATTAGCAAAAACGAAAGACAAAAATACAAAAATTTACCATAGCACAATGACAGGATGTATAGGTACCGAGCCATGCCAAAGGGATATTACCCAAAATGGACTAAACAGTAAAGGTAATAAATTACAAAGACAAATAAGAGAACACTATAACACGTAATTAAGATGATAAACAACGTCAGTAGCTAGAATATATACGTCGAGACCATCATGTATTAATTTGTGAAGTTGATACGAAATATTTATCAACAAGGTATTGGTATCTTCCAATGAACTTTTTTTTTAGAAAAAGGACAAAACGTTCTTTGAAATAATCCTGGTTCATCAACTTACTGCTTAGACCCTAGTGACGTTTTATTAAGTCTGGGAAGCAGCTGCAAGCTATTGAATACCGAATGAGTTTGGGAATGTATATCTCATATGCAGGTGAAGTTGGTATATTGTCCTACGGTGGGGAAAATTGATAATTTCAAAATTTTAATCGTCTCGTTTGTAATAGATTCTGGTACTGAGAAGACCATGGCCACTTATTTCAAATTCGAGGTATAAGTGCAAAAATGAGGCGGAGGAAGCCGTGTCTGTTGTTTCTTTAATTTCTAGTTCTGTAGGATATATTAATGGAACTCAATCAGAAAAGTTTGGATTGTTAATGGAAAGAACAACTTCAATATATCAGAATGTGAAATTCACAGATCTGGCTTCTTTGATCTTCTTGTTTTTGACAAGTGTCTGAAGGAACTCCGACTCATATGAAAATAAGAAGATGTCGACAAGGAGAGGCGTACAGTTCGTTTCCATAGGAATGGCCGACAATCTGTTGAAAAACTCTACCTCCAAATTCAACAAATATGTTGTTGATAAGAAACTCT